GCTTCTGGAAGAATGGTGAAAAATTCCCATAAACACACTCCTAAACCTTGTGGCAGCCTTCCCAGAAGAGTTGAAGCTGTTATAGCTCTAACGGGTAGACCGACATCATATTGGACCCTATGGATTAGGAATGGGATGTCACTTACAGTTAATTCATATGTGAGTAAAGGCAGGTGAGCAAATACTTTTGGCAATATAGTGTATATATAAAGGACTGTGAAGTAGTATATAAGTCTAAGTGCTATTGCTATTTCTTCAGAATAGGTCAAGGGTACTGTTTTCAGATCCGCTTTTTCCTTATATTAGTCAACACTTAATACCCAGTCTTGATGATTACCCTGCTCAGACTCATTAAACGCTTTTGTTATATGGAACTTAGCCTTGGTTTGGAAGATAGGTGCTCTCAGTTAAATAATCTCTACATATTCCATGAAAACAAAATGTTTCTAGGTGAGATATGAATTTTGAGCTCTGAGTTATTCAAAATTCCAACAAGCACAAGAGAATATCCTTGCCAACTGATAGCACATGCTTCAAACAAGATGTACACAAGGCTCTGAAGGTCTACTTCAAACTCAAACTAGAGAGATAAATAGTTTGTTTCCTATAAATAGAGAATCAGGGAAAATAACTTTCAGTTCCAGAATTGACTGATGACTTGGATAATGCTTTGTCCTTTTGCTCACAGTAAGCACATAGAATCATGCTTCATAGCATTCTATGTAAAAAGTGACTCTGTTGGCAATCTTTAATAGTAGGATTAACATTAATAGATATTTGTAAGGTGAATCTGGAATAAAGCTACCTTAAAATTTTATGAAACAGATAAAATTGCCTTTCAGAGGTGGGCTTTGATCCCCTTTGGGTCATGTACCCTGATCCACCCTGGGAATGCTACTATATTATATTACTTTTCTGTTCACTGTTATCTCCTGCAACCAAGAATAGTAGGCGGACTTATTGTGAAGTACTGTCTGCTCACCAAAAGATAGACTTGATAAGCTCAGTATATTTAGGAAGGAAAGTAATGTGAACAAGTATCCTAGTCACCCAAGAGTTGAGATGCAAGGTACTTTACTGCACTAAATGTTATACATTGTTTTCCCATATGTCTTGTAATGGGGAGTTTGTGGGTTACAGTGATATCCATATTAATGCATTGAATACATGATAAAGGAGGAGCTGAATTAGACTCAGAATAAATGGGAGACCATTCACTTATATCACAACTGATTCAAGAGTTTCAGGTGCCTACAGACCACTCCTGCTGTTTTTTACCTAAAAAAATCATGTGAAGTAGGTTGGGCTGAGACAGAATGATTGTTCTAAAGTCACCCAGTTATTTTTTATGCCTAACAATGGATTAGATGAAATACAAATGTGATTAATTTCTTGCTATTTTCTACTTCTTTCCAAAAGTATATATATATAACTGCACATCTTCTTTTCAGGAACTCCAGTAACTCCTGCTACTCCAGCCAATGTAATCCAAAGTTTACCTGATCCATGGGTATCTCAGATAACTAACACAGATACGCTTGCTGCTGTAGCACAGATCCTGCAGAGTCCACAAGGCCAACAGGTAACAAATCCATTTTCAACCAGTCTCCACCTACAAATATATAATTCTACTTCTCTGCTTCATATAGTTTAAAATGCTGTTGAAAAGTTAAAGACTAATTTCAATTTGTTTTGCATTTTTAAAATTTTTGCAATTTATGTTTTTAAAGCAAATAACATGAATATCAATAAATTAATAAATAATAAATATGAACACTTGTCTCAATGCCTTTTATGCCAAATTTTTAATTTTTTGATTAATTTTATTGAAGACGTCATTGAAAAGAAAACAACTAATGCTGTGTGTGTGTGTGTGTGTGTGTGTGTGTGTGAATAAACATAAAAA